AGTTCCTGGCTGTACCTGATCCTCTTACCCCTCGCCGGTTGCCCTCCTCGATCTGCCCCGGTAAGCTGTGGCCCGCAGCTGTCCGCCCTCTGACGCCGTCTGCTGGTTTCCCCCTACACCGGCTGGTCCGCAGCAGATTGCCCCACCCGAAACGACCCAGGAAATACCAGTATCCACCCCCGCTTACCTGCCGCCTGACAGTAAGATTGGTCCCGCTCATTCAGAACCCGGACATCCACAGACCTTTACTCATCACTCATCCTCTCTTCCAGCCCGTTCCTGCTGCCCAGTTCCTTGAACCCTGCTGAAGCTCTATTGTTTTGTTGTTTTTTTTCATTAAACATCTTTTACTGATCCTTGGTTCTCTTGTTTCTGCATGTGGGTCAAAAAGTTACCTCCCAGCATGACACTTTTTTAAAAATCTGCATTGGCCTTAATATGCCGTCGTACAATCGACCCTTTTGTGGACAACGGAGTATTAGAAACAGGCTGTGAAAAAAGTCAAAACGTTACCTCCCAGCATGACAGAACAATCTGGCCAAGACACTGACCCAGCAGAAACCCTTAGGAGAACCATTCGGGAACAGCACACCATTATCCAGACGCATGACTCTGCTCTTAAGGAGCTATCAAACCGCCAAGCCGAGACGAATAGTCGGCTTGATGAACTAATCACCTTTTTACAAGCATCTTCTCGGCAGGCCACCGCTCCCGCTGCAGCTGCAGCTTCAGCCCCGGACCCAGCTGCAACCCCGCCTCCGGCTCCTCCCACTCCATCCAGTTCTGTGAGTACCATCCAGCCCATGTTTTCGGGAATACAACCACTCAGCCCAGAAAGGTTTGCTGGAGAAACGGGTAGCTGCAGAGGCTTCCTGTTGCAGTGCTCGATTCTGTTCAATCACTCGCCCCAAAGTTTCCCACATGACAATGCTAAGATATCATTTATCATTTCACGATTATCTGGACAGGCATTGTGTTGGGCTGAATCCCGTTTCCCTTCCTGCTTGGATTATGGATGTACTTTTGAGGAATTTCTAAGGGAATTTAAGATGGTTTTTTCACGTGATGCTGACAAAGCTACCGATTCCCGAGAGCTATGGTCACTCAAGCAGGGACAACGAACTGTTTCGGAGTTTGCCATCGATTTCAGAATAAAAGCCGTAGCTTCCGGTTGGAATCAGGCTGCACTAAAGAGTGCCTATTTCCACGCCTTAAATGAACAGATTAAGGATGAACTAGCGACACTTGATGAGCCAGCTACGTTGGATGAGTTTATAAATTTAACCATCCGGCTGGACAATCGCATTCGTGCCAGAAAAAGGGAGAGAAGCAGAGCTGATCGAGCTGTAAGACTCTTTACCGCTATTCGCACATCACCTCCTCCTGCTCCACCACCAGCTGTGCCCGATCCGGAGCCCATGCAGCTGGGGCATGCGCGTCTGACCCCAGAGGAAAGACAGAGACGGTTAAGGTCCAAACTCTGTTTATATTGTGGGGACTCGGGTCATTTCATTTCCAACTGTGAGTTACGGTTAAAAGCCCAGGTCCGTCAGAGGTTTTGAGGAGACTGACGGACCATCATCAGGACACTCCTCACCTTTTATTACCAGCGACTCTGTTTTTCAAAGATCAGCCTTTTTCTGTTTCTGCCATGATCGACTCGGGGTGTGAGCAGAACCTCTTGGATTCTAATTTCACCCAGCAAATGGGAATTGAGACCGTTCCGCTCGCCACCCCTTTACGCGTGTCTGCCTTAAACGGCAGAGCACTCACTCAGATCACCCACAAGACCAAACCTGTTCAGTTAATAATCTCCGGCAACCACAGAGAAACTATTTCATTCCTTGTGTTCCCGGCAGCTGGGACCCCGATTGTTTTGGGATTTTCCTGGCTTCAACAACATAATCCACACATCAACTGGTCACAAATGTACGTTGAGTCTTGGTCACATGCCTGTCACTCTAACTGTCTCCGCTCAGCTGTTCCCCCGAGTTCTCCGCCGGCTAATCCACAGGGAGCGGACCCACCTGATTTGTCATCCATTCCCGCTGAGTATCACGATCTCGCACCAGTGTTCAGTAAGTCCAAGGCTTTGACTCTACCTCCACATCGCTCGTATGACTGCGCTATTGATCTACTTCCAGGAGCCCCTTTACCGGACAGTCGACTATTTAACATCTCGCGTCCGGAAAGGGAGACGATGGAGAAGTATATCAACGAGTCATTAGCTGCGGGTATCATACGCCCCTCTTCGTCACCTCTGGGAGCCGGGTTTTTCTTTGTCAGCAAGAAGGACGGTTCGCTAAGGCCTTGCATTGACTACAGAGGTTTGAATCAAATCACTGTTAAAAATAAATACCCCTTACCACTCCTCTCATCAGCCTTTGAACCGGTGGTGGGTGCCACAGTTTTCACTAAACTCGATCTCCGGAACGCTTATCACCTGTTACGCATTAGACAAGGAGACGAGTGGAAGACTGCCTTTAAGACCCCTATTGGTCACTACGAGTATCTAGTTATGCCGTTCGGGCTGTGTAACGCTCCCGCATTTTTTCAAGCATTGGTGAATGATGTTTTGAGGGATTTTTTGAATGTGTTCGTCTTTGTCTATTTAGACGACATTTTGATCTTTTCCAAGGATCTGTCAGAACACAAACGCCATGTCCGCCTGGCCCTACAACGACTCCTGGAGAACAAACTCTATGTAAAGGCTGAAAAGTGTGAGTTTCATCAGCCATCAGTGTCATTCCTGGGGTTCATTCTTGAGGGCGGACAGGTGAGACCATCTGAGGAAAAAATAAAGGCGGTTTTGGATTGGCCCGTTCCAGAGACCCGAAAGCAATTGCAATGGTTTCTTGGTTTTGCCAATTTCTATAGAAGATTCATCCGGAACTATAGCCAGACCGCCCAACCCCTAACCGCTCTGACTTCCACCAAGGTTTCATTTACCTGGACGTCAGAGGCAGATGCAGCCTTCACTAGGTTAAAGTCTCTGTTTTCCAGTGCACCCGTCCTCGTCCAGCCTGATCCCAGTAGACAGTTCATTGTGGAGGTGGATGCATCAGACATTGGTGTTGGTGCCGTGTTATCTCAAGTGTCTGGTTCTGATCAGAAAACTCACCCATGTGCCTTTTTTTCACGCAGACTAAACCCCGCTGAGCGGAACTACGATGTGGGAGACCGTGAGTTATTGGCCATAAAACTTGCCCTGGAGGAGTGGCGGCACTGGCTGGAGGGCGCAGAACACCCCATTTTGGTTTGGACGGACCATAAGAACCTTTCCTATTTACAGTCAGCCAGAAGACTCAATCCTCGTCAGTCCCGTTGGTCCCTATTTTTCTCCCGTTTCAATCTCTCCATCACTTACCGGCCAGGTTCCCGAAACGTTAAGCCAGACGCACTTTCCAGAATTCATGCTCCTGACAACTCAGAGAAGGTTCCAGCCACCATCCTGCCTCCTAGTTGTACTGTCTGTACAGTTACCTGGGAGGTCCAAGACCTTATCCAACAAGCACAACAGTCTGAACCCGACCCTGGAACCGGCCCACCTAACAAGATTTTTGTCCCTACCTCAGTCAGATCTCGCTTAATTCAGTGGTTGCACGCATCTAAGCTTTTCGCTCACCCTGGCGCTAGTCGGACCATAGCATTGGTCTCTCGCCGTTTTTGGTGGCCGTCTCTGCACAAAGATATTAGAGATTACGTTTCGGCCTGTCCTACCTGTGCCCGTAATAAGTCTTCCCATCAGCCACCCTCTGGTTTTTTGCAGCCATTACCCATTCCCAAACGCCCCTGGTCCCACATTTCCATAGATTTTGTCACCGGTTTACCCCTTTCCAAGGGAATGACCACCATCTTATCAGTTATTGACCGTTTCTCTAAATCCTGCCACCTTATTCCGCTCCGTAAACTCCCATCTGCCTTCCAAACAGCCCAGCTATTGGTTAAACATGTTTTCCGCCTGCACGGCATCCCACAAGACATCCTCTCTGACAGAGGACCCCAGTTTACATCTCAGGTCTGGAAACACTTTTGCACAGCCCTCGAAGCTAAAGTCACACTCACCTCCGGTTACCACCCACAGTCTAATGGTCAAGTTGAACGGTTGAATCAAGAACTTGAATCTACTCTACGATGCCTCACTGCTTCCAACCCCTCAGACTGGTCCTTGTTTCTGCCTTGGGTAGAATATGCCCATAATTCTCTTGTTTCAGCTGCCACTGGCCTGTCCCCCTTTGAAGTCTCATTGGGTTACCAACCCCCCCTGCTGCCCAACGATGAGACGGAGATCGCTGTGACGTCGGTTCGTCATCACATCCGTCGCTGCAAGGCCATTTGGAAACGGACGATCTCCGCACTCCACCGCACGGCTGACCAGAACCGCCACTGGGCCGACCGCAAGAGACGACCAGCTCCTCAATACTCACCTGGACAACAGGTTTGGCTCTCGGCTAAGGACATTCCCTTGAAAGCAATGTCTAGAAAACTCTCTCCCCGTTTCATCGGCCCTTATGTTATTGATTCCGTCATAAGTCCTTCTGCTGTCCGCCTCCGTCTACCTGCCTCTCTCCGTGTACATCCTACCTTCCATGTGTCACAGATCAAACCAGTCCAGACCAGTCCTTTGTGCCCTCCGGCCGAACCCCCTCCTCCCACCCTGGATGTTGATGGGCACCCGGCTTATGCGGTTCGCCGGGTCGTGGCCTCCCGTCGCCGGGGTAGAGGCTGGCAGTACCTCGTGGACTGGGAGGGTTACGGCCCGGAGGATCGTTCTTGGGTACCTGGTTCGTTCATTCTAGACCCCTCTTTGCTTACTGATTTTCAAGCTTCGTCTACTGTTGGACCGCCGGGTGGCGGTCATTGAGGGGAGGGTACTGTGGTGATCCTGGGTGCTCGGGTGGTTGTCCTGCTGCTTCTCGCTCCTTCCACCAGGGGCCGCCTGGTGGATGATCTCTGGTGGGCGTGACCGGCGACGCTGGGATCCTCACACCTGTCGGAGATTTTCTCATCTCCGAAGAGGTTTAAGAGTGGAATCAACCAACACATCGATGCCAGATTGTTAACCAGTAATGGTACTGTAGGCCACCACTAGAGCAGTTTGTGATTCCTCTGAGAACCTTCCAGTGACACCTGTTGTGTTTACTCGTTTCCAGACAACCTCCTCGAGACGTCCTGGGTCAACCCCCGAGGCTTTGAGTTCCTGGCTGTACCTGACCCTCTTACCCCTCGCCGGTTGCCCACCTCGATCTGCCCCGGTAAGCTGAGGCCCGCAGCTGTCCGCCCTCTGACGCCGTCTGCTGGTTTCCCCCTACACCGGCTGGTCCGCAGCAGA